TGTTTACACTTTATATTTTAGCCGACTAAAACTATTGTAGATTTAGTCGACTAAAATCCTATGATTTTTAGTCGACTAAAACTAGACTAAAACAAAAACAATTTAGATGACTAAATTATGACTAAAACTAAATGACATTTTCGTCAAAAGACTATGACTAAAACTAAATCAAAATTTGCTGTCAAAATTAACACTGTCTGGGAGGCGATCCCCCAGGACACCATCCGTCGTCTCATTAGGAGCATACCCCGACATTATCAGGCATGCATACAAGCAGGTGGGGGCCATGCAAACTACTGAGTACGATTTTGAGTTGCTGCAATGAAATTTCGGCAAAATGGACCAGGCTACTGGATCATTTTTTCACTTTGATTTTTGGGGTGTCTTTGAATTCAGCCCTCTGTAGGTTTATCATTTTCATTTTCATCAAACGATGTGCCATCCTTTCGTTCCTAACACATTACCTAGTCCATATCAGTATAGATATACAGCATGATTTTTTCCCCCATTGAGATCTGATGTGTTTTCAAAGCGTTCCTTTAATTTTTTTGAGCAGTGTATAATCTTTTCCTCCTCTGACCAATTTGGCTTTCTTTTCTTCTTTTCTCACATTTTTTTTTACTTTGTGAGCAACTTTGTGAGGTGATAACGGGTATCACAAGCAGGCACGAGTGCAAGCATATGAACTGTCTCCTTGGAAATGGGACAATTTTACTTCTGTAAAACATCTTTCGATGTTGTAAATCCCTTAATGTTTTTCCTTAACTAAGGAAACCTTTTAAGGGGTTCTGTGCAACACCCTTAAATAAATCCCTTAGCTAAGGAGAAATTAAACCTTAAGTGTCATACTTAAGGGGAAAACTTAAGGAGTTTTGTGCAACCGGCCCCTGATCTTTATCTTAGTATTTAAATGAGCGATTGATTTCTCTGAAAGATTTGTTCTCTACAAACAGTACCACATCAACAAGCTGTCTATCATGTCATCGGACAATCACATGAATAACAGTGAAAAGGATGTGGATGAGGTAGATGCAGCCTTGTCAGACCTGGAGATCACACTAGAGGGGGGGAAGACCTCAAATACACTGGTAAGAATATTTTTCGGTCACCCATGGATAAACAAGTCTGACTTTCTCCTGACTCTTTTCTTGTCTTATTTTTTTTTACTTTTACATTAGTTTGAGATATTTAGTTATTAATATGCATTACGTGTTGCTTGCAAGTTTCTATCAGTGGGGGCCATGGAAATCATAACACATTACCACTTATCAGAATATCAGGAAAAAGTATTGTTTTTAATAGGAAGTAAACAAATATACATAGAGCAGAGTACTTAACCTATAAAATAATGGTACCCTTCCTGTGACCAACATTTGTTCTGTTATTCCTACAGGGTGATATAACATCCATACCTGAACTTGCGGACTATGTCAAAGTGTTCAAGTAGGTTGACAAAAAATACAAGTCCAAGTGTTGTTAGTGCATGGATTCCATCTATATTTACTTTTTTAAAATTTTAGTTACAAGCATTTATGTTTAGATACATGTTAAGGTACCTATTCTCAGCAAGAAATGGTTACAAACCTAGCTCGTCATGAATGGGAGTAAAACAACTCTTTTTTTCTGATTGCTTCTCTGTCTGATAACAGTAATAAAACATCAATGTTGTATTCTATCTGATATGTTGCCTTTAAATTATGGTTACATCAGATAAGAAAAATACAAAGGACTCCTAATGTTTAGTGCATTGTGGTAATTTTCTGGGAGTGGCATAATGGAGTTCTGATACATTTTCAGGCCAAAGAAACTAACACTTAAGGGCTATAAGCAATATTGGTGCACATTCAAGGATATAACAATTTCCTGCTTCAAGAGCAGAGAAGAAGCTCATGGCACACCAGCTCACCAAATGAACCTAAGAGGTAAGGCATGGTGGCAGTATAAGAATTTGGAATTTCATATGGAATTTCATGTTCATATTATCACAATGTATACCATGCTAGTGTACCGTATTTTCCGCACTATAAGGCGCACTAAAAAGCCTTTGATTTTCTTAAAAAATAACTGTGCCTTATAATCCAGTGCGCTTTAAACGTGGATTAATTTCTGTTGTGCATACTGAACTCGAAGCGATTTGAATGTTTTAGTATTGAAAAGTGAGTGTATTGTGTAGTGCTTCACGTGTTATAAATTAACAATTTCAAGAGTTGTTATGAATACGCTGACTTTTGATTTAGCGGTATAGGACCGTATTATAAGTGTTCAATTTTGAGTTATTGTTAATAGGCTGACTTTTGATTTAGCGGTATAAGACTCTTGTTTTTTTACGTGTTAAAGAGTAGTGAAGACGCTCATAAACATTTGAACAATGTTGACAGTCATTGTGAACACGTGATGTAAAATAAATTTTCGTTGACTGGCTTATCTGACTGTTTTGTTTTGCTTAAAGCGCCTTAAAGTCCGGTGCGCCTTGTGTGTGGAAAAAGTTTGAAAATAGACCACTGATTGACGGTGCGCCTTATAATGCAGTGCGCGTTATAGTGCGGAAAATACGGTATATTAAAAATGCCCTAAGGAGATTGTGCAGAATGTGGTTTATCTTTTATGAATTAATTATCACATTATAGGTAACTTAATTTAGCTGAATGTAATATTGTAACCATTTTTTTTTTTTGTAAAGCTGCCCACCTCCCAAATCTGATTTAATGAATTTGCATGCCCCCCACCCCCAGATTTAAACAAATATGCTTTTTGGCAATATAAGCCTTTTGCTAATGCTGATTTATCATAGGAACATAATTTTATGTGTGATTACATTAAAATAGAGAGATTATCCCAAAGGTTGATCTTTCAATGCAAGGCTTTCACTCAACTCAAAGTGGGACTCTCAGTCCACCCTATCAACCCAGACAGGCATGTGTTCACAAGTAGTTCATATTCACGACTAACATTTCCTATGCTCGTTATTGAATTCCAACTGCAATTTCTTAGAATGCTATTCAGTTAACATCCACAAGATGGCACAATAACATTTATTTTGTTGTACCTTTATGACCTGCTTTTGAAGGAAAATGCCACGTTATTGGGTGGATAGCCCTGTTACTTCACCCCTCCTAGGTTGTACTGTGTGTGTTTGTATGTTGTGTAATGTGTTGTTTTTTCCCCCCCGCAGTCCAAAGATAGGCACTGTGGTTTTCAAGCAGTGTGTGATTGTTTGTGTGTAGCCTGTTACAGCTGACATTATAACTGAGGTGCACCATGTGTCTGTGCAGCCTTGTGTCTGTTACTTCCTGGTAGAGATGGGCGATAAATCGGTTTTATCGATTAATTGGGATTTACAGTTCAGGACGATGTGTTTTTATGAAAATCGATTTTATTACTTATTTTACACGCGAGCACTAGGGCTGCACATTTGGGGAAAATATCGAATCGCGATTTTTCTGACAAATTGTGATTACGATTTGATTTGCGATTAGATTTTTTTATGTCAAGCTTCAGTACAATATTCAGTGTGTAGTAATTTTAAAACGTATGACGCAGCATGAGATAGCATCAGTATTAACTGGTCTATATTCTAATGCAAGTATGAGAATTTAAAGATGTGATGTGTCAAGTTAAAGTAATAATGAAAACAATTGCAGCAAAAAGAAAAATAGCGATCTTGCTGGTAACGCTTATTACCCTCCTAATAACACTAGAACCGCCTTTTCCCACGCCAATGAACAAGCAAGAACTACTTCGGTGTATGCAGCCCTTTTGTTAGCGCTATTGTGTTGTTAGCTGCTGTTATTAACACTAATAACACTTAAAAAAAAATGTAATGTTCATAACAGAGTGGCTGTTCTGTCCTGAAACCGTAAAGCCGGAAATTTTTGAACGTAGTATGCATTTTATAAAATGTTGAATAAATAGAAGTCGTTTATTGGTGACTTTATGTTGGTCGAAGTTTCCGCTTTTTAAGAACTGTATACGATTATTTTCTATACAAATCAATTCAGGTGAAACAAAAAATGTATGTGTTCATGGTTGCAAACTCTTTCAGACTCTCAAGCAAGAAAACTTACGGCAAATCTATATTCCATTCTGAACTTAAAATTAGCTGCATCAAAAACATTACGGCAGTTTGCAAACCCTACAGACTATTTAAAAATCTCACTCCATGCAGCTGACCAAAGTTGCCAACCCTGCATTTTATTTTAAATGAGAAGTAAAATGCAGTTTTCGACTGAAGCAGCTTATCATTCCTTTGCTTTGTTACTCAGACAAATACAAAACGAATGATTAAATATTATATGCATCTTTTTGTATGTTTTCTAAATAAGATCACGTGCCCATACCCAACTGTAATAGCGATTAAAGCGATCTATTTTTTTAGTATTTATGTTAAAGCAAGACTTTTATTTTATTACTGTTGTGGGATTAATCTTTGGAAACACTTAAATTTAATAAGCACAAAAACATATGACATATGTATTGTGGTTTTTACGGCATTTTTGGAGGTCACCGACTCCGCTGCTGTGAGAATTACTGACTGTCGCATTGTTGTTTTGATGGGTTAGCGGTACACTGATGCTATTGCCTATTAAGAAAAACAAAAGGTATGATACACTGAAGTATATTGCAGCTGGTGTTTAAAAGGAACTCACCGGTTCTATTGATGATAGGACCTTTCTGAAACAATCTTGGACGATGAAATAGGAAGGCAATTCACTTATATCTCAGTAGTGGAATCAGTATTTTTCTGCACCGCGAATGTAACATTTTCCTTGGGTTTCACGTGTTTGCTGTTTGTGGGCCTATACGCTATGCCTTCTTGGGCCACTTCTGATTGGTGAGAATGACTGTCACACAGGGAGCACAGCATGAATTTGTAAAACTATTCTCACAGCAGTTTTAAACACTAGGTCCGACATGCTGTATAATGTATATCCTAAATTGCGATTTTTGCAACTTGCTAATCACGTTGTTTCAAATCGCGATTTCGATTTCAAATCGATAAATCGTGCAGCCCTAGCGGAACTAATGCGACGCACCGTTCTTCACAGGTAAATTAGCGCGGCGCACCCAAATACTGTAGCGGATTCACAAACAACATGGAATTGGTTCGGTTTTCCGCTGTCGCACACAGACCAAACAAATCCTCGTTGCAAAGTCTGTCTAAAAACTGTTGCAACCAAAGGAAGCAGCCCGACAAATTTATTCCAGCACCTAAAACAGAGGCACACCACAGAGTGGGAGAAGTGCAGCTCCCAGCGAAATGAAAATACCTGCAGCACCAGCACAACATCCCAAGTTAAGCAAGCAACCATCCCTGACATGTTTTCGAACTGTGTGCTATATGATAAGACTGGGGAACGGTGGTGTATATTGCAAAAGACACGGTGCCCATACATACTGTGGAAAAGCCTGGATTCATTAACATGCTAAAGGTTTTTACAAGTTTCTAAAAGTGTTTACAATGGCGTGGTCTGCCATCTCCCTTACAAGCATCTTTTTTGGCTTGTCAGATTGCACTTTAACTCTAAAGTAAAAAAAAAAAAAAACAAAATAAAGTTAAAACTTGTTTTGAACCATTTATTTGTCATCTGTAGTTTGATTTTCAGTAGGAGAGGGGAAAATCGATTAAAATCGAAAATCGGATTTATTGTGAAAGAAATCTGAGATTTTATTTTTAGGCCATATCGCCCAGCTCTACTTCCTGGTATAGGCTTCAGACCCCACCCCGCAATCCTGACCAAAATAAACATCTGAAAGTTTATTCTACCAAATGATCTTGGCTCTCCAGTCTTCAGTGATAAGAGGAATATTTTTATGAAAATATACGTATGCCTTGCTCAAAGATGACCAAATTTATAGATTACCGTGATATGATGCCAGTTCTCTGATTTGACAGTAATTGGAAAAATATTGAATGTAGTATGAACAGGAAGCATTTTGTAGTTTATGTTGTAGTAAATTTCCTTGGGAAAACATGACACCATTACATAGTTTATGTATTACAAAGATTGCAATAGTTGCTATTCTAAGTAAATCAGCCATCTTTCATTATATGCAGGTTATATAATTATGCAGTGTAGTTAGTTTCCTAATTGTCATAGGAAGTTGTAATATTTTACATGGCTGTACAGAGGGGTCTATTCTTCTATGTGCATTTCAGTTAAGCATATTCTACTATCGAGTCTGGGGTTTGCGTGCACTTAGGCCAAATACACACTGTGGGTTCGATTCTCCCATGCCCGTAAGTGGGGGAAAAAAGCACATGGCTCCATGTTTTTTTCACTTAAGCATATTCTCCAATTGATTGACATCAGGGGTTTATGTGCATTAAGGCTAGATATTCGCTTTGGGTGGAGAAATACCAAAATATGGGCATGTTGCTTGTAAATGACCCTTAAGTGTGTTCTGCCACTGGCATAAGTGCTTTTAATTCCATTTTTTGCTGCTTACTCTGGAGGGTTATATTAAGTCAAGCACCTTTACGTGGCCAAATGCAGTATTGTAGAGTTCAGAAAGCCAAACATTTAACACAACTTAACTTACATTTATTATACATTAACAGCTTACTTCCATCTTCACAACATTGCCTGACTTAGGCACTTCCTGTGGGCCCAACTCTACTGCCGAGTCCCTTATTTATTCCTTTATCTCTAGCTTTATCTCTAGATTACTGCAATTCATTATTGGCTGGTATTACTGGTAAATCAATCCATAAACTCCAAATACATAGTTCAAAACTCTGCCCACCTCCTCTCCCACATTCATTCCTACCAACACATTACTCCCATACTTCAGAGCCTTCACTGGCTCCCTATAGAACAGTGGTTCCCAAACTTTCTCTGCAGGGCCCCCCTTTTATAGATAGGAACATTATTGAGCCCCCCCATTCAAACTACACAGGTTCAGATTTAAACTTTATTTGAAA